GCTTCTCCCTCTCCCACTCCCCCTGCTTGTGTTCCTGCTCTCGCTATCTCTCAAATAAATAAATGAAATCTTAAAAAAAAAAAAAAAATTTTTTTTTTAGACAGGAGTGCCTGGGTGGCTCAGTTGGTTAAGCGTCTCACTTCGGCTCAGGTCTGATCTCAGGGCTCCGTGCTTAGCAGGGAGTCTGCTTGTCCCTCTGCCCCTCCCCCTGCTTGTGCTCTCCTCTCTCTTTCAAAAAAATAAATAAATTCTTCAAAAAAAAAAATTTAGGGCGCCTGGGTGGCTCAGTCGTTAAGCGTCTGCCTCTGGCTCAGGTCATGATCCCAGAGTCCTGGGATCAAGCCCCGCATTAGGCTCCCTGCTCGGCAGGGGGCCTACTTCTCCCTCTCCTACTGCCCCCCCAACCCCCGGTGGTGTTCCCTCTCTCACTGTTTCTTTCAAGTAAATAAATAAAATCTTTAAAAAAAAAATTTTAGACAAGTGGAAAAATTTGAACACTTACTAGATATTTGGTCATATTATTGTTTTTTTTTTCTTAGATGTGATATTAGTATTCTGTTTGTTAACAAAGACTTTTATCTTTTAGAGATACATACAAAGTATTTTCCCAGATGAAGTTACATCTGAGATTCACTGTAAAACCATTCGGGAGAGGGCATGCAGCTGGAAGGAGAGATGAAATAAGACTGCCATGTGTTGATTCTTGCTCAAGCTGGGGAATGGTTGCATAAAGGTTCATTATGTTGTTCTAATTCTGTGTAGGTTTGAAATTTTACAAAAGGAAAGGTAAACAAAAGCTATAAAGCTAATTCAAAGGGAACGATAAACTATAAAAATAAACTTCTGCCTCAAATATGATAAATGCATAAAATTCTTAATATTTAGAACATGTATCGGGCGCCTGGGTGGCTCAATTGGTTGGGCAACTGCCTTCAGCTCAGGTCATGATCCTGGAGTCCCGGGATCGAGTCCCGCATAGGGCTCCCTGCTCAGCGGGGAGTCTGCTTCTCCCTCTCCTGCTCCCCCCTCTCGTGCTC